CTAAAAAGTAAAATATTTGTGAAAAAATATTTCAAAAAATTAATAAATACACAAAAATATGAAAAATGTACTAAATTTTCATATTTTTGGAATTTAGTGAATTTTTTTAAAAAAATTCACAAAAATTATACTTTTTAAGTGTACTTATGTTAAATGTATCTAAAAATTAAAAAAATAGCTTACAATATTAAAAAAAAATTCAGTAAAAATAAAAAAAAAATACGAAAAATAAGAAAGTAAAATTTTCTGAAATGTATTTTTAGAAAACTCAAACCAAGCAAAGTGATATTGTTTTTTAACAAATGAGTTATAAAGCAACGTGCACAATGTGAATAAATGTTAGGTTTAGAGAAAAGAAAATTCTTAAATGTTGTACAAAAATTAACAGTCTCATTTTATAAATATTTCCAATATATATGTTTGAGAAAATCTTAAATCAATTTATTTACTTATTACTTTTTTTTTGGTTGAGAAACGTAAAAATCTTAAATCCATAGATTTGACAATTACATTCACTATCATCGTCCCTTTCATATTATGAGAGCAGTATTAGGAACACATAAGTATTTTATATAATGAAATAAAGACGTGTAACAACAGAGTGAGTCTTGTATATAGATCTCACATTATGTAATATTTACCTTTATTTCATGAAATCTTATGTATTCTTAATACTGGTCTCATAATGGAGTCTTATAAAATCTTCGTGAGATGTTTTATGATATTTTTTCATGATTCTTAATATTATTCCTTACCAATAATGTTAGGGATCATGAAAAATATATCATGAAATCTATCATAAAGATTTTTTTTTCTTAATTAATGTGGTGTTTTATTGTATGAATAATCCAAAGATGAATAATCTTTCATGATATTTTTTTCATAAATCTATATTTCATTATATTTCATGATCACCTTACTACACAGCCTCATCGTTTGATGTTGACAACCGTAGTTCGCACTTCACGGCATCCATTCCACTCCTCTTTCGTGTCTCCTTGATCACTAATCCATACTTATTTCTCTCTCTATACATCTCTTGTCCTCTCATTTTATTTTTCTTCTCACTAACTTGTGTGTTATTTAGTAGAGATTTTTTTGTTGAAAAAGCAGTAAAAATTTACTGACTTATCACAGTATAATTTCACTTCGCCAGAAATAAATGTCAAAAATTTTCATTACAGTCCTTTTGCCTTCCTCGTTCTTCTTGTTCTTCTTCTCCACTGCTAACCCAAAGAAGATGAAAAATGGAGTGGGGGGTTGCCAAAGAGCAAGGGGACAAGGAAAGGGTTGCAGTGGGATGGAGGTTTGAAAGAGTCACTAGAGGGAAAATGAGGACTAAGGGAGTCATCGAAGGTGAAAGTAAGGGCTGTCAAAGGAAGTATGCAGGGATATGAGTCCAAATGATATATTTGGGACTATGGTTTTGCTCAAAAAAAAAGAAGAAAAAAAAAAAAGAAGATAGATAGGCAATACACATAAGGGTAAATTACACTAACACCCTCTGAGGCAAGGTTCTGAAAAGCGGTTGCGGTCGTCGTAACGGTGGCGGTGATGCAGTTGCGGTTGCGGGGTGTAAAGGCTGTAGTGTAACGGTTGTTTGAAAGAGTCACTAGAGGGAAAATGAGGACTAAGGGAGTCATCGAAGGTGAAAGTAAGGGCTGTCAAAGGAAGTATGCAGGGATATGAGTCCAAATGATATATTTGGGACTATGGTTTTGCTCAAAAAAAAAGAAGAAAAAAAAAAAAGAAGATAGATAGGCAATACACATAAGGGTAAATTACACTAACACCCTTTGAGATTTATGTTTATTACAGTTTTCCCTCACATTTTGAAAATTACATCTCCCTCTCGGAGATTTAAAGTTTCATTACAGATTTCTCCTTAGCCCTTTTAATTTTTTTAAATACCAATTTTACCCTCATTGGGTAAATTTCATTGGCACCTATCACATTTTAAAAATTACAATCCCCTCCCTAAGGTTTAAAGTACCATTACCAATTGCCTCATCGGTTAGTATTAGTTGAAAAAAAAAATTAATTGAAAAAAAAATTTGTTAGCAATTTTTTTAAATTTTTGTTTAAAAACCAACGTAAACTCATTTTTTGAATATGTTTTTTTTTCTCAAATTTACAAACTGAGACAACCATTTATAAACAAAAAAAAAATTATCAAACAAATTTTTATGACAATTTTTAAAATTTTTATAAATATAAATTGAAAACTAAAAACAAAATGGTTACCAAACAAGTCTCAGATGGTAAAAATGTCGTAAAATAAACAAATAATTAAATAAGTTACCAACGTAAGAAATGACTTATCAAAATATTCTTAGGCCATTTCTTAAACGAAATGAAAATTATTTTTTAAACGAAATGAACATTATTTTTTTATTTTTTATTTCTTAACCAAATAATTTTTAATTAAATTTTTTTTTAAAAAAAATCAAACCATACATAGCCTAAGAATCTTTTGATAAATCATTTCTTAAGTTGGTAACTTATTTGATTATTTGTTAATTTTACGATATTTTTACCATCTGCGACCTGTTTTGTAACCATTTCATTTTCAATTTTTAATTTATATTTACAAAAATTTAAAAAACTGTCATAAAAACTTGTTTGATAATTTTTTTGGTTTATAAATGGTTGTCTCAGTTTGTAAATTTGAGGAAAAAACATAAATTCAAAAAATGAATTTACGTTGGTTTTTAAACAAAAATTTAAAAATTTGACTAACAATTTTTTTTTTTCAATTAATTTTTTTCCAATTAATTTTTTTTAATGATTTTTTTTTCTAACTAATACTAATCGAGGGAGCAATTGGTAATGCTACTTTAAACCTTAGAGAGGGGATTGTAATTTCTAAAAGGTGAGGGGTGTCAATGTAATTTACCAAATAAGGGTAAAATTGGTATTTAAAAAATTAAAAGGGCTAAGGGAGAAATCTGTAATGAAACTTTAAACCTCAGAGGGAGATGTAATTTCCAAAAGAAAAGGGAGAAACTGTAATAAATATAAATTGCAGGAGGTGTTAGTGTAATTTACCCTTTCCATAATTAGGTGAGGCTATTCACAACCAGTTTAGATATTTTACGTTATGTTTGGTTGGGAAATTTGAGAAATGATTTGAAAAAGAAAAGAAAAAAATTAAGTAAAATGTAAATAAAATATACTTACATTTCACCTAATTTCACACTCCTTTTTTATTTCACTTTTATTTTTTTTTTCCAAATCTCTCAACTAAATACGTCGTCAAAGTGAAATTTGTAGTGTCATTTTCGGAAGTGTTGATTCAACCTTTGGCAACAAATGAGTATAAAACGATATCATTTTTTCTTAAAAAAAAGTAAAAGAAAAATTGAGGGTTTTTTTGGTTTGCAATTTAGGAGATGAGTTTTAGAAAAAAATTTTAAAAAAATTGTTTGGTTTGAGTTTTTCTCAAAAAATTTTCAAAATCATTTTTTCTCTCTTACACATCAATCAATCACTTTTTCTCTCTCCTCTCTCCTTCTCAATCACTTTTTCTCTCTCACACATCTACTCAAATTCTCCCAAAATATCAAATCATCCTAAACTCTAAAAAAAATAACTCTCCCAAAATATACAACAAAACAAACCAAAAAAATTTCTAAACTCTCTCCAAATTTTTTTTCAAAAATAACTCTCCAAAAAACAAGCCAAACAAGTCCTGAATAACCCAGAAAGGATGTTTGGAAAGAGACTTTTTAGACTAAAATAATACTAAAAAATAAAATAAAATAAAATAATAAAAACATCATATTAAATTTATAATTATTTTATTATTTTCTCACGAAAGATCACATACTAAAAATTTATTTCCAAAGACAACTATTTCAGCAAGTAAAATACATTTACTCATTTATTGTCAGCCATTGGATAGACAATTGAGCAGCAATGATCCTCTAGAGTTTTTTTTCTTCTAAAGTTTACTAAAGTGGTGTGTTGTATGGGTGAGATTTAGGGCTGGTTTGGGGTGTCCTAAAAAAGTGTACTTTTTGTCTTTTTAAACTAAAAAAATTGAGAAAAAAATATAGAGGTTTGGGTTAACTTTTTGACTTTTTATAGAAAAATGTGTACTAAAAAATTATATAAAAAAATTGTGTAAGAGATGATTAGAGAGGGGTGGGCCCCAGCCGTACAACCGGCTGGAGTGAATTGGGGTTGGAAATTATTGGCTAATTTTTGTACAAAGCACTGTACGGTTTGGAATGGCCCGTGGGGGTCATCACGGGTCCCATTTTAATAATTTGAACCGTTTAATGTGTGTAACTCGTCGAACACTATGTACTTATAAAAAATCACGTTAATCGGATATCAATAGCTATCTGATCAGATTTATTTATTTTTCAATCATTAATTATAGCACCATCCATTTGTTGTACATAACTGATTTGATCATATAGTTATCGATATCCGATCAATTTGATTTTTTGTAAACATATAGTACTTGACGATTTCTACACATTGACGGTTCAGATTATCAAAACGAGACCCGTGATGACCTTCATAAGACGAACAACGGTGTGTATAAAAATCACACCCAATCATTTCTTTTTCCTCCACTGGCGCACACATCAATTCGGTGAATAGTAATTTTAAAGAAAATTGATTTTTTTAATTTTTTTTAAATAGTAATATCTTTTTGATTTTAAAATAATTTTTTGACTTTTTAACTTATATGTGATAAGCCAAATCAGCCTTTAATGCTAAAAAATTGATACTACTAAATCTCAATCATACAACACACCGCTCTATAAAACTTTTGCACAGAAAAAACTCTACAGATCCTTGCTCACAATTGAGGAGCAAGGATCTTCTAGAGTTTTTTTTTTCTAAAGTTTCCTAGAGTGGTGCATTGTGTGATTGAGATTTAATGACAAGTCACATCAATTTTTTAACATTAAATCTCAACCACACAATACACCACTTTAGGAAACTTTAGGAAAAAAACACTCTAGACGATCCTTGGTGACAATTGAGAGGATCACTCTACAAATTTCACTCTAGAGCATCCAGACCCCCGAGATTGTGGTTTCGCATTCAAGGAAAAGAAAAAAAATATGCAAATCACACCATCTCAAGCGCTATATAGGAGGCTTTATCGATGTTTTATATTTGTTTTTTTACTACGTCAAAGAAGGTTTAGGATGAGTTTGGTTAATGGATTTTGGAAGAGATTTGGAAAGGAAAATTCAAAATGTGTAAGTCCCTTTCCAATTCTATGAAACCAAACACAACATTATTGTTTGTTGTTCTTTTGGATTAATTGATAATGTATAGTTTTGAGGCTTTTGAGTTAGAAATGGATGAGCTTTGGATGTAGCATCAAAGTTTTTGTTGTTTGCTTTCCTGTTGGTAGATTGATTTGTTCTATATATATATTATCTGCAAACCCTATTTTTCTCATCATGAAATGAGAAAATTATTCGAAATTGTTGAAATTGTTTTCTTTTCCTGTCTCAATTGATCTGTTTGGAAGTGCCCTGGTATTCAAATTATCCACTTTAAAAATTACTTTATTCATGTTTAAAATTGCATAAGAGTGGAAACATACTATATTTATATTGTAATTGTTCTGTTATATCTGTTCTGAATCTACATTGTTTGGGAACTTTTATTTTCATTCTAATTGTGGAACTGTGGCTTTCCATTTTATGTCATAGATACTTTTGTACCGGGTAACTAATGCGAATCTATTGTTTTATGTATATATTAATTTGTTTTAAGCTTGTCTTGGATTGCTAGGTCATTTGGTTGTGATATTAGCAATGATTGTGGGGCGTGAATCCTGATGGCGTGCAAGCACGTTCAGGTGAACTTCCCGGTTATATATGTCCTTGATTATTATCATTGTATTTTGCGCAATAGTAGTATGGCATGATAATTATTTTCACAATAAGGTTGTTTATGCATTAATGCTCTATCTTTTCGTGCCAAATTTACTGTAACATAAAGAGTAAATCAATGCACAACCAAGTGAAACGAAGGCAAAATTATAGAATTCATTTGTTTAAACAACATAATAGGCTGCCAATGAAATATTTGTGTAGTAATATATCACCTGAAGAATTGAAGCATATAAATGGCCAAAGGCTTTGTGAGCTTATTAGTACTCTATTGATTGCTACTAAAATTATGCAATAGGCTTGTATACTATTTAGGAATTTTTAATTAATGATTTACAACTGACCAAAAAGTTTACTTTCCACAATGTCATAACAAAACCTCTAAATGTTTAGAATTCGAGACATTCTTGGCTCATTTTGAAGAATCTACGCTACGTAGATTGCACAAATTTATTGTAAATTTAATTACTAGGCAAAATTTATGCTGAAAATTCGCTGACAATATCTTAGTAGATCTCATATAAACTTATGAAGAGTATCTTTTTTTATTATTATTGTTTTTTATTTTGTTTATCATCAATATCGAAGCCTCAAAGATGTTGAATCATAATGAAGAATGATTTGGGGGCTTCATTGTAGAACCCCTACTAAGATGGACGCTACTTCACTCCAGGTTGTTGATTCATCTCGTGTTGCTGATGCCTCACCTTTAGCTGATAATCTCTCTTATATGGGACGGCCCTGCAAGTTTAAATCTGAATACTGTGGGAATTAGATTCAGTTATGTAACTTTGGCAAGCCATTGAAACCTTGTGATCTTATGGAGTACTCCTTTATCAATCTTGAGAAGAAAGAATCATCTCTTTCCAGTAGTTTCGCTGGTGTGTCGAACTCTGCTATTCTTCCTGCTCATGGAGAAATAATTTCACTTACATTCATTAACCTCAGAATCAAGTATAAGGTCAATTAACTCATAAATAATTTTCGTCGAACACTTGGAGGTGTGTGTGTGAGAGAGAGAGAGAGAGATTTTACTTACCGTCACTAAGGATCAATACAAGATCACTATCTATGACGGTGTGGATTCTGTGAGCTATTGTGACAATTGTTCGATCTCTGAACTCTTGACTAATAATCTTTTGTATCACTCCGTCAGTTGCAGAATCAACTGATGCTGTTGCTTCATCTAGAACAAGAATAGTGCTTCTCTTTAGCAAAGCTCTTCCAAGACAGATTAACTGCCTTTGGCCCACACTCCAATTTTCTCCATTTTCAACCACTGCGAGACCAGGTTTTATTAGCAATTTTCACTAGCAAATCTTTACACTAGAACTATGGATAACAGAATTAAATGATGAATTTGACCTGTAGAATCTAGCTTCTCTTCCTTTGCCCGCACTAGATCACCTAGTTGGCATTTGTCGAGAACCTAAAAGATTATAGAGTTATTCAGTGTTAACGAGTTAAATTTTAACTATATGGAAATAACGGAGAATTCACATTGAGGCATAGTTCTCTTTTGCAAGTTTGTTAGTAAGCATCATAATTCATAAGCACTACACTCAGTCATTCGCGGTTTGTTTGTAGAAATGTGGCAAATTGGTCACACATAGTCTACATTGCCTACAGGTCCATCTTTTCCCCTTCCTAGCTATTTTCATGCCAAAACTTTACCTGATCATTTAATTATTGTCATTGAGCCATGCCATTAAACTGAGCTCCTGTAGTAGCCAGACCAATGTAATAATTTTTCTTAAAAAAATTCTTTTTTTCTTGAGTAGGTAGACTAATGCAGTAGTTAATGACAACATAAAAATGTAGTGCAAAAATTTGTGCTCGTATGATTATAGCTAACTGATGTAATGTTTAGAAGGCCAATATCTACCTCCCATATTTTGTTGTCAGAGTATTGCTCTAGTGGGTCAAGGTTTCCTCTAACTGTACCCTCAAACATCGTTGGGTCCTGTGGTATGATGCTAAGCCTTGATCTCAAATCATGAAGTCCTATCTTGGAAATATCGACATCGTCAATGATAATGCTCCCCTCTTTTGGTTCAACAATCCGAAAAATAGCCTGTATGAGGGTTGATTTCCCACTCCCTGTCCTTCCCACAACACCAACCTTCTTCCTTCCCGGAAATGTGCAGGTAATATGTTTCAATACTGATGGGAGATGCTCAGCATAACGAATCTGAAAATGCAGGCATTGCATACACATCAGGAAATGTTCACAAGTGAATAGGCTTTTGAAAGATTAGAAACTATAATATAGTGGAACTTATGAAGGATGAATGGAATTTTAAACGAGATTCCCAAATTCTGAATTTTCGTTTTAAATATTAAATTTTCTATAATTATTCAGATTATTTATGGAACTTTTGACATGAAAACATTACTTAAAGCATCTGACTTTGTTTTAATAAATAACACCTTGCTATAGAATCTAACCTGCAAGTTTCTGAAACAAATTGTTCCAAAATCTGGCCAGTTATTTGGTGGTCTGCAATCTTCAATCACCAAAGGTGCTTCACTGGGAATTTTTGAATACTGAAAAATTCTTTCAACTGATATCATTTTATTTTCTGCATTGCATATATTCCATATAACTGAAGCTTGCTGGACATTAAGATTAATTCCATATGTTACCGCCAACCCTGCAATGCCTGTAGAATATCCAATTCCTATTAACTTCTCTGCGAATGACTTTGTGTTTGTTGACATGAAAATAGGATACTGAATAAACCTAAGTAGCACAGACGCATACATGCGACGCGTCAATTTTAAAGAAATGTAAGACATGACACGCTTGGAACACGTTAAAATTTTATATTTTTTTACAAATTTATTATATTTCGTATATCTGAAAAATTTATTCAAAATTAAAAAATAATGAAAAATATGTAACATAACACTAATTACATAAAAAAGTTATATAATTTATAGCTTAAATATCAGGATACCATTCACATAACAATTATATTCTAAAGAATGCAAAACAATTATAGAACATTGTTATATATATGATGTATTCATCTTATGATTGTTTCAAAACACATTTAGAGTGCCTAAGTTGTGTTCTGAAGGGATTTGTCACATAAGGAAGTATCCGTGAAGTATCACCAAAGTGTCGATAAAGTGACCGATATTATGACTATTTTTTTAATTAAGACATGTTGAAGAAGCGTCGGACACACTTTTAAAAGTGTCTGATATGTCACTCTTCCTTCACAGAAGTGTTTGTTCTACTGAACTAGACATGTAATGTGTGTGCATTTGAGGAGCACCCACTCTTTGGTTGTTAATACCAAGAAAAATTGTCTAAGGAAGCAAAATATTCTAAACTCCTACTTTCTACATAACTCACATCAACAAAATATATCAACCTTGTGACCCCAAAAAAATAAAACTTTCATAAGAATTTATGATGCTCACTGGGATTGATAATTCCTTCCGGCAGGGTGACAAGCAAAACCAATGAGAAGGCAAAAACAAAATTAGATAACTGGTTCAGTCTGAAAGAGAGCCATTCCATTGCTGACACATTATGGAACCATGACCTTGAGTGGTTGTCAATAAGGCTGAGATTTTTATCAATGAAGCGATCTTTTTGGTCAAAAGCGCGGATTGTTGCTGCTCCTGATAGTGATTCTCCAAAGTGGTGGAGGATTGGAGCTAGTTGTATCCCTGATAAGCGGCCCAGTTCTCTTGCAGTTGGTATGTAATATCGCTGAATTTATTGCCAATAAAATATTAGATCAATGTGAACATATGAGAACTATCATAAAGGGCGGCACTTGAAAAGCTCAAAATGAGTGATTGTTTTTACTCTTTAATTACTTCTTTTCGGGACATTTAATGTGAGGTTTTTACTCTTTAAGGTCTGCAAGAAGTTTATTTGCTTTTTTGAAAATTTTATTGAAATAGTGCTAGAAGTTGTCAAGAAATAAGCCTCTTTTATTGTCTTATTTTCATAATGGAAATGTTATTGTTGACTCTGTTTGTTACTAGTGAACTTGAATATTCAAACATTATGAGCGCTAGAAGCGAATTTCTGCCAATACTATTTGCTTTCCAGAGATCTCCATTTATATTTGGATGGTAAAAACAGACGTTGGAAGAAGTATCTTACTTGGTACCATATGCAGATTGCTGTTACTGGAATGAAGATTGCAAATACTTCCCATGCTACCTGTGACATGACAGCGATGGTCCCCAAAAGCTGAATTATTGAGAAAGCGCACCAACCTAATCTGTTTGCCATCTCCAAGTCTACTACACTTTGGTCTGTAGATGCCTGTGAATAAAGATAACTAGTTGTTATATGCTTTCATTTATTTTATGAACACAACATATAAGTATTGAAAAGAAACAAATGTATTGAAATTTATGGGATTTATGTTAGTGAAAATGAATGAGCAAGACTTATCATTAGCTGGAACTTCACCTTAACAGCTGCAAAATCAAAACTATCTTTTTCATTTGTTCTTTTTGCCGTTTGCTTTTATTTATACATATTTGTTATCCTGTCTATGATGGAGGTATGACTGACAAATTTGACTGCAGTCAGAAAGCAATGGTCAGTTTCTGGCATTACAATAATGGAGGACTTGAGGTAGTGTAGTTTCTATACCTCAAAAAGTTTTTACCTTCATGTGGGGCACTGGTACCTTTAATACACTAGTAATAGTAAATTTGTGATTTATTGATTCTGAATCAAAGAAAGAAAAAAAGGAAAAGGAAAGAAAGTTTCTTGATTCTCATGGGTGAAATAATGTCTATAAGAATTTGAATTTTCTTGATCCATGACTTTAGTAGCCATTGATGTTCCTGCATGGCTTTTTGGTTGAATGTGTCCTTTGAAATTTTGTTATCCATTAACTGATGCAAATTTTCATTGTTAGTGATTTTGGTAGTGTTTTGTTCACTGGAATAAAGGTGGAAATGTTCACTCCATCGGAATGTCCATTCTCATGTTCGGTTCACTAAAAAATTATAGAAAATGAGTTGCAAATGTATTCATCATTTACCATTACAAGGGAATGGTCATTCCATAGGAAGGTTGAGGAATGACCATTCCATGTTGTTCCACCTTCATTCCAATGAACCAAACACAACATTTGAGTTCAATACTTTCTATATCGTATGCCTATTTTCTTGTAATCTGTATTTCAGACATTGATGTTTTGTGAAGATCTGTTTCAATTGATGCTATTGATAGTATTTTCAGCTTTTACATGTTTTTGTTAGTAACTTTTAAGTTTTACTTTTTGAAGTTGTAGATGCAAATTATCATTCGACGATGATTCTTCATTGCTTTTAAGTTTTTCCTGTTTTGCATATAACAAAACCCAAAACCTATTATTTTTCTCTAGATATCAATGTTGATGCCTGTCGCTTTGTCATTTCATCAAAAAATAAAAAATTAAGTATAGCTGTACGTTGCTCACCCGATTTAAGATTCTTCCAGTTGGGGTTGAATCAAAAAATGACATCGGAGCATGTAGGACACTACGCAGCATGTTGGTAAAGAGCTTTTGTGATGTCATAATTCCTGCTACTGCCACTAGCATGGCTCGAACCAGCACACAAAGTGAACTTCCAACAGCAAGAAGTGTATAAACAAGTAAAATGATATTCATCCCTGTTATTAGTTCAGTGCCACCTGTGGTTGGACAAGCCGATGCCATCCAATAGTTACTTGCTATTTGTAATACTTGGAATGTTGTCTGGGTCAGAACAATGATTGGAATTAAGGCGCCACCCTTCACAATTGTCAGGTAAGACCAATAAACTTCTTTTCCAATGCTTCCTTTCTCTCTCTCTTCATCCTTCACCAATTTTGCATCGTTTTCTGCTATTTCTACTATGCACAGATTCTGCTCTGACTCATGCTTAGTGTATAGAAGTTCTGCACTGGATTCATCATCAGGTATTTCATTTTGAGATGCTCTACTTGAACTTTCGACTGTTAGGACAGATTCTAGAGCTTGGCTATGAGCTCCAACCAAAATCTCAAATCCAATATTCTGTTTCATAAGTTCATCAAATGTTCCAGCTTGTGAGATTCTTCCATTTTTCATCACCTGTAGAGAATTTTGTTTAGTTATAATGGGATACCTTTTCATATAAACTGCAATAATCAATTTCGCACCAAAATCACCATAATTCTGAAGATATCCTTATTTTTACTCCAGATCTTCATTAAATATATTTACATGATTTGATCATGTAGAGAGTTCTTATTTAGATCAATATGAAAATTGCTTGCCATATAGTTTTAGAATGTGACTTTATTTTTCAGAAAGTACAGCTTTTTGTTTAAGACTCAAATTTATACTTGTGGTTTTAAATTTACTGTATAAATATGTTTCTTTTGTGGCCACGCTAAAAATACAAAATATCATGGTTCTAATATATGAAAAGGGAGATTTGTGTTGCTTATTGCATACCAAAATGAGGTCAGCTGCAGGAAGGAACTCGACTTGGTGAGTAACATAAAGTATAGTCTTTTCCTTGAGAATCCCCATAAGGCAGTCCTGTGCACAGAGTATAGAGAAATCAGTGCTCAAAGTTACCAAAGTTTGTTGAATCACATTAAGAGAATGAATGACCTTAGTTCTTAAAGTAGAAAAGACTCATTTCAAATACTCATTTCAAATTGTCAATCTTTAGTTATAAGATTCTATAAACTAACCTCAAAGAGTTGTGAGCCCGTATGGGCATCCACGGCGCTGAAAGGGTCATCAAGCAGATATATGTCAGCATCCTGATACACTGCACGAGCAATTTGTATCCTTTGCTTCTGTCCACCACTCATATTTATTCCTCTTTCTCCAATCTGTGTTAAGTCACCAGCAGAGAATAGCTCAAAATCCTTTATCAAAGCACATGCTTTGATTGTTCTGTCATAGTTGGCGCTATCATATGGGTTCCCAAAGAGAATATTATCTTTGACATTCCCTGAAAGTATCCATGGGGACTGGGGAACGTAAGCCTTTGTACCGCTGATTTTCACTGTGCCTGACAGTTTTGTCATCTCTCCTAATACGCATGAGAGCAAACTGGACTTCCCTGATCCTACCGTGCCACAAATTGCTACCTTCATTCCCCTCTTCACTTGTAACTGTATTCCATCAAGAGTTGGGTTTCTCGATTCGGCATCCCAACTAAATGTTCCGCCATTGATTTCAACTTCAAATTCTGTTTGATCTTTTGGAACAAAGTCAATGGCATTCAACTTAATTTCATCTTCTTGGAGGAAAGATGCTATTCTATCTGCTGAGACTTTTCCCTGAGCAATTGTAGAGAGTAAATCAGGTAGATTGAATATGGGGTCTTGTAACATTCGGAATGTTGCTAATGCAGACAGGACTCGCCCAGCCGTTAGTGGAATCCCCATTAAAACACATCCCCCAAAAGTCAGTACAGAAATAAGCGTTGGTGTTCCCCAGAAGATAAAAGTTGTTGTTGCTGACAATCTCAATGACTTCCATATGCTATTGTATTCTGTTCTCCTCAGGCTTTCTAGTTTGTGAAGATATTGATTATCCCATGCTTGAAGTTTGAGAACCTTAATGTTTCGCAGAACTTCTGAAGTGGCTTTCATTCTTTCATCCTTGGCTTCCATGATCTTAGACTGGTATCTTTTCTGAATTCTTGTCAGTGGTATATTTAAAGCCATCACTGTCAAAGTTGTAGCTAATGCCACCAGTGACCCTAGTCCTAGAGTTGTGCGTAAAATAAAGATAGCTAAGGAAATTTGTATAGGCAACTGCCAGACAGTGTTCAAGTACCAGACAAAGTCTGTGATTCGTTGGACATCCACGCTCATGTAGTTGATGATCTCTCCACTGGTTCGGCTTTGGCGAGATTGGCTTGATAATAGGAGGCCCTTTTTGTATATTTGAGATGTCAGAGCAACTCTCAGCCGAAGGCCTAGCTGGCGAGCCCCAAAAATCCATTGTCTCTGTGCTGTTGTCTCAACTATTTTGGCACCCAGAAAACCTAGTGCAATAAGGTATCCACTTGCTAAACTTTGGGTTTTCTTTTCGTTTAGGAAATTCACAAAGCCGTCAATAAGGTATGGGCCAACATATGATGCTGCTGCACTTATCACTGCAAAAAATGCATTAATTGCTGCTTTCTTCCTAATAAACACAAACATCGCCTTGTAGATAGATGGCATTATCGTTCCATCTCTTTCCTTGACATGTTTTAGGTTTTCATCAAAGGCATGCGATAGAAATCGAGCAGAATCCCTGATGTAAACATCGGGGACTTCATCCTGGTTGAGGGGTTTTTTTACTCCAACTGCAAACAACGGATTCAGCCAAGAGAAGGTAACGAGTTGGAATAGAGTAGCTTTTCCATATAGACAGTTCCTTGTGCTTTCTGAATTCTTTTCATCTTTGCCATTGAGAAGTGGGTCTGTGATGCCATTTGGGATGTTGAAGACAACCCCCGTCTTCCCTGGAATTGAAATACCCAGTAGGATGGTGGATGCAAGAAGACCAAGCAATTCAGCGAAATTTTGTACTCTGAGGTGCTCGTGGTTTGTAATAATGAAATGGGCATCAAGAGCTGTGTGGACAAGAGACAGCAAGAAGCTGCAAGCCCACCAGGCTCTTAGAATCCACGGGAATTTGATGTACTTTTTATTGGCAATCTGGTATAGTGCGAACAATGTAATTGCCCATATTATAACTTGCATGATCTCTGATGAAAGAACTGTGACTTCAGCTTTGCATTGTGCTCCATTTCTATTTTGCAGTGTCAGCAACATCATGATATGAGTTCCCAACAATAAAACGGAGCAAGCTATGCTGACTTTGTAACAGAGGCCAAATTTCATGCCATCGGGGTATTTTTCTACACCTGTTACTTGTTTCCTGTGTTTGCATAATGATTCCACAGTTTTCCACACAAAGTGAAGTAGCATGATTCCAAGGAACCCTAGTTGCAGAAGTATGCTGGCATTGTCCCAAAAGCAGGGTGAGATTAGCTGTGGCCATCCTGATTCATACTGAAGAATCTGAAAATTTGCGACTATCACAAAAGAATATCAGAGCATGTCTCAAGAGGTAAAACAATATTCTTTGGCAATTTAGTTGATCTATTTTTGTCTACCTACGTTACATGGACTTGGATATGGATATTGCACGTGGGTAAATGTCAGGTTCATCTAGTTCTTATATCTAAATACACTTGGAGACAACAAAATGTTCATATTTAGAATACTTTTTTTAATTTTCCATGGTAGAATGGTGTGTTTAGAAAGTATCATCTAACATTTCATGGATTATGTAGAGTTTTATGCATACTCATATTAAACTCGAATTACTAAAGATGCTTGGCGTACAACTGGAGAGCAAGAAGAAGAATGGAGATAGAAAAAAGTGAAGAAGAAAATTTCTTCTTGGTGCTACATCATCCATACTCTTACCCAAGTATCGAGTGTCTAACATGGGTATTTTATATATTTAGAAGAGTTCATGTAACATAGTTGTTTACCATGCTTTTCTAGGTTTCTATTGCCTTTTGGTTGTTATTAAATCAATGCAGTGCAAATAACAAACTCAATAATAAACAATATGATTGATGAGAGTTTTTTGCATTCACTCAGCATGAAATTTCATTTTTATCAGTTAGAATGTAGTTGCAACTGCTCATTTATGCAGAAGACTTTCAACTAATTTTGCACAATTCTGCACAATTCTGCAGTGTTGCCTAACGGGTGACGGAAAGATATCTGGCTGGTGGAGTGCATTTACGATGAATGGCAGTATATTGGAAGACACGAGTTTGCATATCCAAGTCTATATCCTGAATTATTTGGTGAAGTACATCTTCCCCTTCTCTCTATATCTAGTTTCCAAAATCCTTGTGGGTTATTATTTGTATTTTAGTTAATATTGAAGCCATTGATATTGAATATTTTGCTGAAATCCTAAATTGACCTGGCATCTATAAACTCTTTCAGTATTTGAGACTACTTGTTGAATTTTCCCCCCCTTGATTGCTCAAATGCAATATTTTGAGACCTTTCTAATTAGGCTAGTACTGAAGTATCCTTTTATCTTGGAGTTGGATCTCACTTAGGTCTATTTGTCCTCTAGATCACAAACTTTTTGATGCTAAGGTCCACCAACTAATAATGGTCTTTATGTATCACATATCTAATACATTTATCTATATGTATGAATCATGCCCCTAGTTATCCCATCTAAACTAGGTTAGGTTCCAACATTTATCAATAACTATGCACGGTTAAGAATGCTTGGGGTTAGAATTTTACATGAATCTTGAACAATAAATAGTGTTTGACTCTGAAATAAAGTAATAAACCCAGTTGGAAAACCCAATTATACCTGGGTTTTTTCAATGCTCCTAACTAGAATTCCAAATTGAATGAAATTAGGAAAAGGAAAATTTATTCAATTTATTAATTACGAGTGTTCTTTCTGCAGCTGTTAACATTTGTCTTACAAAATATTCATAAGAGTCATTTCATACATGCATACATCTATAGAGGATTAGTACTATGTTTGGTAGGCGAGATAGGGAAGGGAAAAGAAGATAAAATAGAAGAAAAAAGGGTAAATTATATTGATCTCTCTTGAAGTTTGGAGAAAATACAGTAAGCTCCACAAATTTAGCATAATTACATCATATTCCTTTAAGTTTTAATTCATATAACACTTGATTCCCTTTTCATTAGAAACTTATTAGTCATATGTATGAAAAAATAATGATGTCATATTTTTTACATTGAAATGTGTATTTTACATTGTGTATCTTTATGTTTTCGTACATTTGAATTAGTTTGTCTCCATAACTTTATTAAAAAGGAGATCAATGTAATTATATAAAAATTATGGAGTTTGCAGTATTTTTTTCAAACCTCAAGAGATGTTAGGTCATGTTTGTTTGGCTCCATAGGTGGGGGGATTGGACTATCAATCTTGTGGGTCCTACATAGCCTATGTTTGGTTGACAAAAATAGAAGGGGACTAGTAGTCCCATGGGACTATGAATACCTCACATAGGGGGATGAACTTGGTTAGATTTTGGATGGGATTAGGAAAATAGTGAGGGGATTGAGTCTATTTTATATATAAAAATATATATATATATATATATATTTTACCAAGTGCACCTGTTTGTTTTAATATTTGTTCTAATTTTTTTTAATATAGAAATAATTTATTTATTTATTTTATATAAAAATAATTTAACAATCTCATCACTAATCATCTCCAATACTATTATCAAAACAAACACACTTTTACTTATTCCCGTCACTAATAATTCCTATATTAACAATCTCTTCACTAACAATCCCATCCAACTTAATCACGCCAAACAAACGTGGCTTGTGTAATTTACCCAAGAAACAATTATGTACTGAAAACAAAGGGTAGAAAAGGGCCATGAATTTAATCTGAATATTTTAAATACTGAATATATATATATATATATATATTTTTTAAGAAACCTAACTTTATACAGTAATATTGTACGCCAAATGCTATAAAGCTCAAAACATATAATTACTTGTTGAAAACAAATGTTTTAAATATCAATCCATATACTTAATAAATAAGCACTCACAGTGTGAAATCATAGAGGAAAAAGAAAGAAAAAATATGTGCATACATACTCTTTTTCATATACATATAAATATTTTATGTTGCTTGTGTTTTGAGATCTAATATATGATTGGAAAAATTTAAAAACACAGAAACTAATTGTTGAACCAAACACAACTCTATCAGACTAGACGTATTTTGCTTTTTTGTTGATCTTATACTTATGTGAGAGGATTGTATCTGATTTTGTGATTAGTTTTTGTACGAGTAAAAGAACTGTTATACAAGTAAATGTTTAAAGTGGTGAAAAAGGGAGTTGAGAGGAATGAGAGAGAGCTTACTAGCAGGCCAGCCTGAATTGAACATTGCTTCCAAAACCATATCCTTCAAACTCCAGCTTAAACCTCCTCCACACACTTAGTGCTTTATGAATGAATAAATGAATGAATGCATACAAAATCAAACTGTGAAAGCTTGACAATGATGATGATATGTAGTGAGCGTCTATGACTAAAACAGAGAAAGCTTAGTCAGCAACACCTAACATGCTGGAGAGAGAGAAAGAGAGAGAGAGAGAGAGAGCATATTTTTGGGATCAAACAGGGGGAGGTCTATGACAAATAAGTACCGCAGAAAGAGAAAGAAAATTACTATACAAATAGGAATTTGTAAGTATATGTTATGCTGTCATGTAGAGAGAGCGAGAGAGAGAGAAAGGGGGGGATGGCACGTGACGGTAATTTGGAAGGCGATCATTTGGCCGTTTGTTTGAATTCTAGTGGAGCTTATTTATATGTTTTATTAGGGTTTGGCTCGGCATGTGAGAAGCAAACAAATAATTTGGAGAGAGTTATCTTTAAATTTTCTTTTGTAGGATTTGTTTTTTTAAATATCTTTTACAAAATATAAAAAATATATATATATATTTTATGTAGTTGTAACTTTGAAAAATGATATGGCAACAGTTATAATGGTGATACTAGTAGTGTTGGTGTAGTGGTGATAGCGATGCTGATATGGTGGTAATGGTGGTGATTGTGTAGTGGTGGAGGTGGTGATAGTGGTCGGAGGCAACACATGTAGCAGGGATATTCTTGTTCAATTGAATATTCTAATTTTGATTACCTTTGTGTATAGGCAATTTGTGTGTTTAAATATTTCACTTACTAAATTTTGAACAACATAGTGTGAATACCCATTTCTTAAATTTTAAATGAGAATGTTATGTTCTATTTGATTCATTTTCTTTTTTAATATTCCATTAGATCATGTTTAAGGTAATATGACGAAATCACCCTTTTAAACTTTTTATGTGTGTTTCTATTTTGAAACTAACATACAATAAAAAATAATAATAGTCTCTCACTTCAGGAAGAAAATTTCTCTCTTATTCTAAGAAGAAAATATCTTCCTTATTTTATGGAAAAAAACTCTCATTTTCCGTTATTTTAAGGATAAAATATCACATTTTGAAAATTTTAAATCGTCTACCTTACACCGACATGAAGAAGTAACGGTTCACATCGATTGAAGTGTAGACACTGTGAACATCCACATTGCTGGTGGTTACTTATATTTGTATACATATAACAATTGATTTAATATAAGTTGTGGTAAAGAAATGTTAATGTGAACTTTCACATTACAAATGTATGTTGGTAAAAAAAAAACACATTAATATTGTTTGTGCTTGTATGACTATTTCTGAATGTGAATATTAACATTGATTAATAATGTGATGGTCACAACACCAATTGCAAAACATTACAATGTAATAATTCACAACAAGTAATGACTCCTTATAATATGAATATTCACACCATGTAATAATTATGCAAAATTCATACAATAATCAGTGATATATAAACATTCACATTATGCAATAACTATGCAATCATTGCTTTGCATTGCACGTAATGCAACCATCACGTGTTTTAATGTTGAAGTTCACATCATAAAATGTAAAATATTAAAATATAATAATCGACTACAATAATAACTTTAGTGAATGTGAATGTTCACATTCACTGAAATACCCATCCAATAAGAATATACACACTGATATATGAAGGTATTCATTTTCTACAAAAACACAAAAATAAGGAAGAGAATACTCACATTATAACCACATAATACCATAAACATGAAATAACCAATGATATGTTACATCTTGAAAAAAATAGCTATGTCCATATTTTGCACCGCTAATCCCAAACTGAAAGCTTTATTGCCATCATTACACATCATACATTAGATAAGTTCAAATTCACACCATCAAATATAATAGTAATAAACAACATATAAACATTCCCCCATAATCATATAACCAATAATATGTAAACGTTCACATTGTTCAAGCAATGTGAACATTCACAATATCCAAAAAAAAAAAAAAAACAGAGCCTTATATGAATGCATTACCAGATAAAAATCATAACCTCATTTAACAAAAATAAACTTGCATCTCCATCTATTCCAGAAAATGAAATTAAAACAGAGCATACAATTCTTTATATAAAATCCAAACAAAAATGAACATGTATCTCTAAACAAAAAATAATACTAACCTTAAGACAAAATTATTTACTCGTTCTCTCACTCTGATCAATGTCTAACTTCGCAAAATTATGTAAAAAAACAAAGCACAAACAAACAACACTAATGCAGCCGTGATACGTCATCTTCCTCTAATATCAACGAAACCCTAGAACAATGAAGCAACACCACAACGAGAGTGAAACTGAATCACAAAAAAAAATGTGAATCATGGTAACTGTCAAAACAGAAAGATAGTAAAAAAGGAAACATATATATCCTTTTTATTTGTAATATATATCAACAATAAATATAAGGGTATAACTCCTAAATGAGATTTATCAATAAAAATCTCATTTTAAACACTTAACTCACTCAATTCAAACTTTACACACCCATCACGATCCACTCGCATTCTCTTTTAATTCTAGGTATAATATCCTCATCATAAATGCTTCATCGAAACAAAAATTGCTCAAAATGTAAAGTATATGATACAAATTTAAACTTGAGATAGTGTGAGTCATTCTCAAATTGCATTTAATTCATACACTTCATAATCTGAATACTTTTCTTGATACTGCAGTATGCCTAATACAAACACGAAAAAAAACTACTCTTTAATGAAAAAGAAAAAAAAATACCAAAAAAGATATATCTCTTGGTAAATATAACTTATGCTGAATTAGAGCACTAAATTTCAACCAAAAAAAAAAAAAGAAGAAAGAAAAGCAACCTCATATGATTTATTGATAGCAATTGTAAAACTCCATATATTTTTTAGGGAGACTTTCGTGTAAATCCTAATAGGTAGATTTCTTGTTCAATGGGTCCTATGATAATTAATGGTATTTTTCATCAAACACTATTAAAAAACGTCACAAATTGTTAATTTTCAGCAACAGTTTGAAAGTTTTGTCACAAAAAATATCATTAATCATAAGTTTTAGCAACAGCTTAAAAAAAGGTTACAAAAAAGTCACTAATTGTAAGTTTTAGCGATAATTTGTAAAAATTGTAACAAAAAAGTCACTAATTGTTAATTTTTAGCCACATATGCAAAAAATGGTCACAAAAAATTATTTTTAGCGACGATTTTACTCTGACTTATTTTCAATAAGGCTTAATGAGGTTTAAGTCTAACTATTAGGATCTATTAGTAGTTTACCTTATTTTTTATTTGAATTACAATAATAGTATCAATATTTATTTTAAAAATTGTTATAAAAAAATGGATGATAGAAATAAATAATTGTGATTTATTTTATATAAATTATAATTTAATTTTTAAATGTTTAATCAAATTTTCTAGAGCTGCCACTAGTAGTGGCGGCGGTGGTGTTCAGGTGGTAGAAATGGTATAGGGTAGTAGTGATGGTGGTAGTGATGACAGTATGATAAGGTGGTGGTGGCTGCGTTGGTAAGGTTGAAATTCAAAAAAAAAAATTCATCTTCTAAATAGGAAAATTTTCACTTTAATCAATTCATTTTTTTATTTGCATTGATCACAAAAAAAATGTTTTTAGATCTTTCTAGACTAATGGATCTAAAAACAAAGACTTTTGAAACAATTTTTTTTAAAAATACTAAAGTAAAAAAAAATGTGAATTTTTTACTGTTGCTAAATAGGATTAGTCTAAAAGGAGCTGAAAGTTTTTTTTTTTTTTAAATAAAAAAATTGACTGAAAAAAAAAAAAGCAAAAAAGGAAAGTAGATTTTTTTAGCTTTTTCTTTATTGAATTTTTTTTTTTTTTTCCAAATCCGTCTAGTAAGTGAAAAGTTTGTTAAATTTTTTTTATAAAAAAAAATTCATTAAAAGCAAATAAAATCAACAAAAAATTACTAATTAAGCAATTGACAAACCTGCTCTAAATGCAAGAACATTCGGAAAAAACATTTTCTAAAATTAAACGTTTTTTTACTGAAACAAAAAAAACAGGGCACTAATCAGGCACTAATGACGAAAGATGAAAGTGATATGCATGACATATTATTGACAAGTTATAACACTATGAAAACTTAGTAATTATTAAAATATGTTAAATTTGATAATTACATATGAATAATAAACTTCACCATGTCACATCCCTATGGTGATGTAAAATTTAAATGGTGATGTCATGCATATTGATAATAACTTGTATCATTTTATTAAGAGCAAACAACCTATACCCATTTAGATTTAGTTAAATTATAGATTTTCTTTTAACCTTTAAAAAATTACATCTTATTCTCTGAAATTTATTCGCATAATAATTTAATCTCTGTCGTTAACTAAACATTAAGAACGGTTAGTTGACATCACGAAAACATAAATTGATGGATAATATTGTCTCTGATACCTTTACAAAGCACCAAACAACCTAATTTAGCCTGAAATCCTTTTGATAAATCAATAAAATTTACAAAAGAATTACATTAGATGGGAAAAAAAATTAAGTTTTTGGAACCATATTTAGTTTGTTGTTTAGAAAAAAAAAATAGAATTTAAAAAAAAAACTAATTTAATAAAAATGAATATGAAAAAATATATTTAATTTGTAAAAATTATTTCTAACCACTCAAAAGATAAAATTATATTAAAAATTTATTATTTTTAATTTTTTATTTCTCAACCAAATTAATTTTTAATTTTTTTATAAAATAATTTCTAAAAATCAAACCAAACATATATAAGCCATTTGTTTTGTTGGTAACTTATTTAATTATTTGTTAATTTTATGATATTTTCACCATCTGACAGTACAACATATAAGAGTTTTAGAAATCAAATTTTTTTTTTAATCTCTAAAAGTAAAAATTTTGTTATAAAAGATATTTAAGGACTAATTTCTATCGTTGTGAGAATTGTCGCTAAAATGTCGCTCTGAAAAATAAAAAACAAGGTTTTTAGTGATAAAATTTTGAAAATGTCACTAATAAATAGACTTTTAGGGACAATAATTTGATTTCAAAATGGTTTATTTTTTTAGACAAAAAATTTGGTATCAAAAAGATAATAATTAATTACTAATATCCAGTTTTCGTTACTAAAAATATAATAACGATATTTTTCGCAATAAAAATATTTGGTCCTCTAAAAATAATTTCGTCCCTTAATTTTGGTCTCTAAAACCTTAATTTTTTGTAGTGTGATAAGTATTTTTTCCATTTTAATTTTACATTTCATAACTTATTTAAAAATGATAA